GCCGTTGGAGTATGCGACGTGGCTCTTGTGATCTGGCGAATCGAGGTTCTTCCCATCCCAGCAAGACGGAAAGATGACAGTCGCTCTGATGCCACCAGGACAGTACTTGTTGGGCAGTTCTGCGGTGTCTTTCGCATCACAGGGTGCGAAGCCTTCTCCGTTTTGCAAGCATCGATGACAGATGCTTGCACGATTAGGCTTCTTTGCCATGGGATCACCCGCGATCATGCGGAAGCCTGGCTTGAAGGCCGTCATCTTGTTGTTCTTCGCGGAGTACGGCATGTAGTACACCGTCATGCCACCGTCTTGCTGGAGTCCTACGTTGGCGAACTGGGGCACACGTTGGAATGTGCCATTCTCGGGCGACTTGAAGTAGAGCGAGGCAGTCCAGTAGTTGCTGAAGTCCTCGCTGTATGTGCAAGACGTACAAGTCGAACGTGTCGGAGGATCAAAGACACCAGGTTCCATCTATGGTCTGTTAGTGGACGTGTCGCTTATGGATCGGACAGAGTATTACGGTAAGGTTGAAGGAGTTTCCTCCGATAATCTGATGCGTGTGTGGTGAGGGTCGTTGGCCGGGGTTCACCAACGGATCGGCTCTCTCAACGGTGAGCTGCGAGCAGGCGAAGCGCAGCATGTTCTGCGCAGAGGCGCATTGCGTCAAGAGCGCGCTGGCGAAGACGGTGGACCAAATCATGACGACAGTGGTATGACTAGCTACTGGTGAGTTGCGAAAGCCATCAGGTCGAAGTTACGAGGCTTCTTAAGCCAAGGAGTCTTCATGACGTCCATCCAAGGTGGAGGCTTGCTATCAGTGAGTATATTACGGTGTGACGGCAGTAGTACTTCTCCTCCCAGTCATACCAATGACAATGCGACAGATTTTCCAGTCGTACATCTTGTGACGTTCATTCCACAACGAATCTGTGGCGATTGTTCGACTCGATCATTTGGATGAAGTCGTTAATTAACACAAGTTACCGGCAGTTGCAGCTACAATACCGAAGGCAAATCACAACAAGCTTTCGCTTCCGAGAATGCCGACAGGGATCTTGTTGTGCACAGTCGGTCATTGTACAGGTCTGATATTGATTGCTGCAGCTATCGGCATGAGTGAAGCATGGGGGCACAAGTCCAGGGCAAGAGAATCCGGTAGAGAATCTCGGGAGTTGGTACCGCGAGTGGAATCCGTACGGCAGCGGCCTCTGTCTTCGCACTCTCATCCTTCCGACTGATGCCATGGACTTCAAGGTCTGAGGAGACATGGGGTTGTCAAAGTATCGTGTTGCTTTCGGCGGATTTGCTGCAATCCGGCTGCGACTGCCCCATTGGGCGTTTTGCGGGGGTGAACCGAGGATGTCTGCGACATCCGAGCGCCAATACTTCTAAACGATGAAGCTGGGTACCATGTGCGTCGGGGAAGTATCGTCTCTTCTCTGGAGACAGGTACTTCTATCCGTCTCTACTTCAGTTGCGTAATTGCTTTGCATGCCAACATGACGCAACAGCCGCCTCAGGCTTCCTCCTCAACATCAGGGTTCTTCCAGGCCCTTCCGGTACTTCCGCCACAATATACCAGTCCGACTTTGCTACCAAAGGCTTTCCGTAGTCCGCACTCGGAGTCAACACAAGCTTCCGATGACAAAGTTATCGCGCGGATATTAGATCTCTACCTGCCACAGGATGCAACGGAGGCTACCAAGCGTGCCCATCACCTAGCACGTCTATCACTTAATCCATCCATTCTGAAGTACGCCACGGATGCGGAAACCAACCACCCGGTACTGCGTCTGCTATCTACTTTCGGCGCAGAAAACAAGAACGATCCCTTATGGACGACGACAGGGTGGCAGAAGCTAAAGGAGATCGGCTATCGTGAAGGCCTCGTCTCGGTGGCTTATGACAAATCTGATCGCCGCTTCAATAGACGCGTGGGACAATTTGTCCGAGGCCATGTATGGGGCCCGACAGGTACCATGACCGCATGCCCTCAAAGCATGACCGATGGCGCCGCGACGTTGTTGGACAAACACAAGAACGACGAAGATGGTGATCAGCCGGGTCGAGGCGAAGTGCTACGGGAAGCATATCGGCGAGTATGTAGTCGCGACCCTGATGTGGCTTGGACAAGCGGACAATGGATGACAGAGCGATCGGGCGGAAGCGATGTATCTGGCACGGAGACACTTGCTCGACGCATGGCAACGCAGGAGCTGGATGAAGATGCAAAACGAGGAAGAGATTGCGATGCAGTTGGAATGCAACTGGGCCCCTGGAAGATACGTGGCTTCAAGTGGTTCAGCAGCGCAACGGACTCGGAGATGGCTGTACTCCTCGCGCGAACAGACAAAGGCGGCCTGTCTGCCTTCTACATGCCCATGCGACGATGCGTGGGAGGGCAATCGTTGGAAGGCGATGCTTTTAACGAAGAAGTCCCGCCTCTCACCGAGCTCAACGGCGTTCGCATCCAGCGCTTGAAGAACAAACTCGGAACAAAGTCACTACCAACTGCGGAGCTCGAGCTCAACGGCGCACGCGGCTGGCTCATTGGCAAAGAAGGCCAGGGTGTGAAGGAGATTTCCGCCATTCTCAACATCACGCGACTATACACCGCAGCTGGTAGTGTAGGGAGTTGGGCGCGTGGTCTGGCAATTTCCCGCGCCTACAGCAAATTACGCAAAGTGCGTGGCGGACTACTTCAAGACAACCCAGCGCATCTCGCATGGATGGCTGAAGAAACAGTAAAGTACTGGGCCGGTGCGCACTTCACCTATCTCGGTGTTGCTCTACAGGGCGCTTTGGAACAGGATTGGGACGAGATGGTCGCGAATACAAAAGCCGTGCATCTGATTCCGAGCGACAAGACCACGGTAGCGGCTTTACTGAGATTGTTGCTGCCCGCAATGAAAGCGCAAGTCAGCGTCGCATCCGTTGACGGCTTGCGACAGTGCATGGAATGCCTCGGCGGTGTCGGGTACTGCGAGAACAACGAAGACGGCGGGCTCATGAACATCGCGAAGATCTATCGAGATAACCTCGTCAATCCGATATGGGAAGGCACCGTCAGCGTCATGGCAGAAGATGTCGTTCGGGTACTCACCGATAAGCGATTGGGCGGCGGCGATATCATGAAGAGCATCTTCACACCGTGGGTCAGGGACGTGCTCGGTCGATGTGCTCCCATCTTCCAAGATCAAGTCTCGATTGTCGAGGAGAGACTTCAGGCGCTCAACGACGTTGTTCATAATGCACAGAAAGAGGAGCTGCTATACCGTGGACGAGGTATTTTACAGCATCTCGAGATCATCACCAGCAGCGTCGCGCTGATGTACGATGCGCAAGCAAACCCAGACCCTGTTGCACGGGAGATCGCAGCACGATGGATCCACCTGAAGGCACTTTCGCCACAAACGCGTCCGCGCTCTCAAACTTGGAAAGAACTGTCGATAATGGACAAGCGCATCTTCCTTGGAACAACGGAAGCAGCCGTCGGTGTTTCAGCGAAGCTCTGAGGCAAGCGTAGTTGCAAGGGATGCGATTGGTTGCGCAACAAAGCCCTGGAAACATTCAGCTACTGTTGATAAGATACCAAAACAAAACCGCGCTTCAAGTAGACCGCGGAGTTAATTTATCCAATGCTTCATGTTGTGAAACTATTGGAGTGTGGTTACTTTTGCTGTCGGCTATCGATGTACCAGATGTTACGGCACAACTTGCCTGTGAGGTCGAAGTTGAGGCGGGGCGTGTCCTCGATTATCACGACTTTGTATCGGGATTTCGGCGTTGCATCTTACTGGTGCTATCTGTTATGATCTTTCTCGCAGACATGCATCAAACAGACCCCGAGAATCTGACCGTACCTTTCTCCCATACGTCCTGCAGTACCTGGGTAGATACGCAAGTTGCAGCGATGCGCTCGAAACGGCACTTCCGCGACACATTCGGCACGACCCGCACTCCACAAAACGAAACATTACCGCCAAGTCTTCTGCAACAGTCCAGCTCCAAAGTTCAGACCAGACAGCTGTTGTTCGAGTAGCCCTAATAACTTTGACGTAGTGTTTTGCCTAGTGGCGTCCCCCGTAGCGGGAGTCCGTCAGCGCGCATCCCCACATTCTCCGGTGGTGCCAGGATGCGACCTCCCGAATGGCGCGCGCCCGCCATCAGCACGATGGGTCTCCACTTCCAATGCCGAGAAGAGTAAAGCTTCATGATTACTATGCAACCTTGCAGGTGATGTTGATAAGATACAGGAAAGGCGAAGATACTTTCAGCAATGCGCTGAGAGACTTACAGTGTTCGAGTTGCGCCTGCTGGGTCGAAGAGAAGCAAAAAATACGCTAGAGCCGATGCAAAACAGATTGCGTCGGAGAGGAAGACTGCTCAAGTCATTGCAACAGTATGCTATGGTTCGGCTGAAGACAGGGTAAAATGCGCCATGCACAAGCTTATTGATAAGGTTTCTCGTACGTCAGCCTTGTACCTCGCATCATGCAGGTGGTGGAACAGGATTGGCGGGTTGCGCAACTGCACGACAAGCAACTTTCCCTTCCTCGCGGACCTAGCGCATGAACCAGGTAGCTCGAAAAGCATATGCAGTCCCTGTATCAAGCAGCCAGCGGTTCCCCAATGATCGTTCAGCAAGGATATGTGAATTGCGCTACGGAAGTGCGAACACGTCCAATAATCGTCTTGAAGGCTCGAATGTCGTTGGTTTCACGACACCATCATTCGCTACTATAGCCCAGATATTGCGTTAGCTGACACCCGCTAGTTCAATACATGGATCAACTGTGACTGCTGATCGTCGCAGCAAATGGTGTCTCACTACATGGCACTGGAAGCCGAGTGATGCATCATCCGCGGGAAACTAAACATCCATGAACCGTGGAGCGCAACATTGCCGAGCATGGAGGGGGCGTATAAGTTGACAGGCTCGCCGCGCGTTCGTGCTGGAGGGATCAAGACACGAAAGATAGATCGCGGCGAACGACTTTGAGATGGCGACCAACCACAGCGATGTTGAACTCATCCCTGGTACGGAGATTATCAACGAGGATAGCTCTGCACAGAAGACGCTCATACCCACACCCTCTTCTGATCCTCGCGATCCTTTGAATTGGACCCGGAAATGGAAGCGTATGTTGACCCTTCGCCAACGCCTGAGTCTTCGCTGACAGCTATCACAGTCATGGTGATGGCCTCGCAATGGCTCTTCACTTGGATCTCCGTTACCGGCGCACTATCCATTGCGCCGATGTTCCCTCTTCTGGGCGCCCAGTTCCACCTTAACAACAATCAGTTGGCTATGCTGACTGGCATCACCGTTATCACACTCGGTTTCGCCAACTTCATCATCGTGCCGCTCTCCAATATCTTCGGTCGACGCGCTATCAGCTTGACCTTTTCCGTGTTCATTCTTTTGTCATGCGTATGGCAGGCGATGGCGACCAGTCATAGTAGTCTGCTGGCGGCGCGTGCTGTCAACGGTCTGGCTTGTGCGACGAGCGAGAGTATCCCTGTGCAGATGATTGCCGATGTCTTCTACCAGCACGAGAGGGGTCTCTGGACGGGTGTATACTTGTAAGCGATGCTCCTTCGCGCGGTCGAGCTCCATCTAACAGATACTGCAGCACCGGCTACTTCATGGGAGCTTTCCTGGGTCCGATCATGGCTGGTTCCATGGCAGCTCATTATGGCTGGCAGTCGTTCTTCTGGCTAGAGACCGCATTGTCTGGTGTTTCAGTCATTCTGATCGCACTCACCTTCCCCGAGACCAAATACCATCGCGGCAACACAACAATCATCCAATCCACCAGCAGCAACGCCAGCAACGAGGACCAGACCAAGCTCGAAAAACAAGCAACGGAGGCCGGAATTCAAGACTCGGAGCGGAGCTCACTCGAGCAGCCCATCACTGTGCAGGGGCGCCCATCTCGCGCCCAGTTCATGCCGTTCATGAAGCCAGATGCGAGGTGGAAGATATTTGTCGTGCGCGACACCTGGACGCCCATCAAGGTCTTCTTCAACCCGATCATCTTGTGGGCAGGTTTGATGCTTGCTGGCCCAGCCGACATCCTGCTCTTCTTCAATCTCACCGAGTCGCCTGTCCTCGCTGCACCTCCGTACCTGTTCAAGCCAGATCAAGTTGGATATACAAATTTCGCGTTCGCGATTGGCGCCTTGTTCGGGCTAGCAACAGCAGGCCCATACTCCGACTGGGTATCTGCCCGCGCAGCACGTAAGAATGGCGGCGTGCGCGAAGCGGAGATGCGCCTTCCGGCTTTGTTCATTTACGTCGTCATCATGATGCTCTCGATCATCCTCGGCGGCATTGCATACCAGCAGCAGTGGGCGTGGGGTCACATCGTGGTTTGGGGCTACGGGCTGGCTGGCCTCAGCGTCACCACCGTGCCCACCATCGCCATCGCCTACGCGATCGACTGCTACAAGCCCATCTCCGGAGAGATCATGGTTGTCGCTACAGTCTGCAAGAACTTCATCGGTTTCTCGTACAGTTACTGGGTTTTCGACCTTGCGCACGTGAGCAAGAATGGGTGGATTACCCCCGCCATGGTCATTTTCGCTTGCGCAATGGGGCCTGCGCTGTTTGTATTCCCGTTGTACTTTGGGTTGGGCAAGCGAATTCGGCGATGGACGAAGGACAGTGATGTTCACCGCATGGAAGAAGTGATCTAGATGGTCAGTGGCAGTGTGTTGACGCGTTGATGCGTGGGGAGAAGCTCCGTTTGCATGGCTTTTGGAAGGCATGGTCGTGTGCCATGGCTGTCATGATAGGTCACAATATACCCATTTCTTTTGTTAAACCTGAGTTCCTTTCCCCTCGAGGTCTGTTGTGCAATGAGATGTCGATGATGGAGATGAGGTGGCGCCGAAGAGAACGCGTTCAAAAGGGCACCGCCAAAAGTGGGTCTCGTCTTCGCGCTAACCGTTGACGTCATCCCAAGTTTTCCACCAGCGGGCAACGCCAATAGCGTATGATTCATCTATCAATCCGCATCCATACATCAATTAATATCAACCCCAATCCAACATGTCCATTTCCACCCTCCAAGACAAAGTCGCAATAGTGACCGGCTGCAGCTCCGGTATCGGCCTAGCAACAACGCGTCTCTTCCTTGAGCGAGGCGCCTCAGTTTTCGGCATAGACATTGGCGCACAGCCGCAGAAGCTCGCGGAAGACTATTCGACGTTCACATTCTACCAAACTGATCTCACCGAGTCCCAAGCTGCAGAACATGCAGTGGCGAAGTGCGTCGGCAAGCACAACCGCATTGATGTGTTGGTCAACTGCGCGGGCGTGAGCGATGGCTGGAGTAGTGCGGACACGATTCACGAGGAAGAGTGGGAGAGGGTGATGTCGATCAACTTGACAGTACCTATTCGCATGATGAAGGCGGTCCTGCCGGCGATGAAGGAGCAGAAGGGTGGTGCGATTGTCAACGTGGGTAGCAAAGCGGGGACTTCGGGGGCAAGTGCGGGAATCGCGTATACTGCTAGCAAACACGGTCTGGTAGGAAACGCTCCTTTTTAGGGGATGATCTGTCGATGCTGACGATTGATAGGTCGGTGCGACGAAGAATGTGGCTTGGCGCTTCCACAAGGAAGGCATCCGGTGCAATGGTGTGCTGCCCGGTGGTGTTGCAACCAACATCGCTTCGTCGGTCCAGATGGAGCACTTCGATTCCGCTGGCTTCAACGCATTTTTGTAAGTTTTGATGGGCTTCACCTGCACGTTCTGGCCTTTGCTTACTCATACAGTCCCATCGTGCAAATGCACGTATCGAAAGACAGTGAGGGTACACCGGTTCCCTACATCGGGGTAGACAACGTCGCCCGTGGTATTGCTTTCCTCGCTTCAGAAGAGTCGACTATGATCAACGGCGCAATGATACCGATCGATAATGCCTGGTCTACCATATAGCATAGCATTACTTCGGTAAAGAAATAGCAACATTAGAAGCGCATACATTACTTCGATAACGACTCGTGTACCCATGGCCACGGGCTGTTTCTCGTGAAAAAGACGTGTTCAGATTCGTTTCTTACAGTGGTAGACATAGATAAGCCTGTTGCTCAGGTTGCCTTCGGTACATCGCTGCCCCAAGGGTAAGCCTCAGGCATAGCCTTCCACGTCTTCAAATCGTCATAATTCCGCGTCGTACTCTTATTCTGCAGTACCTTTTGCACAAAAGGCAAAATGTCCGCGTACCCACTCACGTCGCAGTGTCCACCAGACGGTATACTCATACCCAGCTTCTCGCCCACGCCTAGCCAATTGTACACGACCTTGGCCGCAGGGAAGGTGACCTGAGCGGTCCCTTTGGAGTCCGTGAACTGATCGTTCATGTTCTGAGAGAGGATGACTGCGCGTGGGGCGATGGCTGCAACGATCGTGTGGGCGTCATAAGGGAGCTGGGAGGATTTGCCGACGAACTGCGAGATACCCGAGGAAGTCCACCATCCTGCTCCAGATTTCTAGGTAGTCGTCAGTGCGCATATTTCAAAAGATCGTGGAGTCTTCGATGAGACCTAGTGCTTACAGCGTTTTCTAGGTTCTCTCCTTGCCCACTCAAGCTGTATCGGTAGGGCCCCGCACCCTGAACGCCAGAGCACATGGGCATAGTGACGGCGATACGCTTGTCGAATACCCCAGCAGCCAGAGCAGCTTTGCCCAGACGAGAGCAACCAGTGACGCCAGATTTGGTTGCATCGATCTCTGGAACCTTGAGTTCAATGCCGTCAAGAACGCGATGAAAGCCCCATGCCCATGCAGTGAGTACTCCTGTTGGCTGTAAGTATGCATGAAGCAAACGGCAAGGTCTACTTACCAATGTCTTTACCACTATACAGCGTCCAGAACGAGCCAGTCTTACTGTTGTTGTCTGCTGCAACTTTGGTATAATCGAATGTGACTACCGCGATCCCTGCGTTTACATAGCTCTTAGTATCCATCCCGCCGATCGAGATGACCACTGGGAACGGTCCGCCTCCACTCGGCAAGTTCAAAGAAGCTGCAATGTTAGCGGTCTTCCCTCCTGCGGTGACAGTGACAGTCAGGGTGTTGCCACTTCGAGTTGCGGTGACAGTCTCTTGCGAGTGATCAGGGTAATACCCGTATTGGTATTCCTGGAGGAGCTTGAGGATTTCGGGTTGACGGCATTGTATCCATTCGTCTTTGCTTTGGACACGGGTCTTGCCGTCGAGATACAGAAACGGATCTGGCATCGTCTTTACTGAGGGAAATGCTGCCGCTTTGGGCATGGGGCTCGGTGTTACTGGACATGTCACATCGATCTGGCGAGGAAGGATCTCCGCAAGATGCTCGGGGTTTTGTCCCAGCGGTGTGCCACCACTGGTGACTACCAAAGTAAAGATCGCAAATGAAGTGGTGCGCATTGTACTGGCTGATATGGAGACGATGACATGGGATGATACAAGTTGTATACTGACAAGAAGGTGAAGCCACAAAAGGGACATGGAACTGTTATGTATCCTCCCGGACGAAGGGCTACATCCATGAATGTGGAACTGGTGTAAGTCAATATCATGTGGTCAACCTGCTGCCCATAAGTAATATAAACAGCCAAGTCCTGTATCTGTTTTGGATGACCTTGGTGGACAGTGAAAAGGTCAGACGGCGTGATGCTATTAAGCTCTTTGTGGGGCTGTCATATAGCCATATCGACGGATAAAGGGTCGATCCACACATCGCAGCAGTGGGCGAAGTATTGCGCACGAGATAACGCGAGATCCGCGCATTCGGAAGTATTCATTCCGAGGTGATGGGAGTGAGCGTGCTCGTCAAGATGACTGCCAGTGTTGTAGTCGTTGCCACCATGGATGCCCAGGTGCCAATCCTACCCTCGCACGTGACAGCGTGACAACGCGTCGATGCGCGCGCTCTTTGAGAACCTGACACATACCGGGCTGCAGAGTAGTACTGCCGTCAAATGAGATTCCATGTGTCAGGCCACTTTGATGGTCATCAGAATCGATTTGGAGTAAGTGAGTTGTGAGGTTGCATCGGCGATCATGATCAGCCGCGAGGTCCAAGCTCCCCTCAGTGCGGGGAGCGACATGTCGCACATCTAGGCATCCTCATGTCAAACTCTATCATGTAGTTCTTCCAGCTCACCGCCGAAATGGTGCCGCTGTCTTCCTTTCTGCTAGTCGCTTTGGCCAGCGCCAGATGCTTCGAACCTACCATCGCGCATCCGCCGCCTCGGTACAATGCTGGCGATCCTCTGCTTCAAGACGCGTTCGAGTCCATCAACACGGCACTCACGGCAGCCGTCGCAGCGCCGAAGTTCGACCGAACCTCCTTCTCTGTAGAGATCACCTCGTCGAAAGACACGTTATGGTCGCAACACCATACCGCGCGCGAACGTAATGCTTCGCGCCCAGACATCCCCGAAGTCAATGGCGACGCGCTGTACCGCATCGCTAGCATCACCAAAACCTTCACCGTACTCGGTATACTGTATCAGCATGCAGCAGGCAACTTGAGCTTGGACGCTACAGTGAATACATACCTCGAAGAATTAGGAGACAAGTCGAACGGCGGCATTCCATGGAAAGACATTACATTGCGCAGTCTGGCTAGCCAACTGAGCGGCCTTCCCCGCGAATGTAAGATGCTTTCTGGAAAGAAGCAGAATCTGTTCGGAGTGTGCCACACAGAAGAAGGTACGCGTGCTAATTTCTTTAACAGGGGCTCAAGGTGATCTGATCAATAACAACTATCCTGAGTTGGATCGAAGCTCCCTGGGTCTACCTCCTGATGTGTCACGAGAAGGGTTGCCAAACTGTGACGAGTACTCACCAAATTATGAGAAACCCTGCACAGCCAAAGGTTCGCTTCTCACTAATTAATCTTGAGAGAAGATTGCTTATCTGATTGTGCTTAGACATGTTTCGACAGCTCAAGAAGTTCGCACCGTTATTCGCGCCAAACCAAGAATCGTCTTATTCGAACGTCGCCTTCGAACTCCTTGGCCTCGTTCTCTCGCGGGTGACGAACCAGACCTACGAGACCTACATCGATGAAGCCATCTTCAAGCCCTTGAACATGTCTACCAGCACTCTCTTCAAGCCTGCCGATTCTGCTGGCGTCATTCCGGCTGGTCCACAATTCTGGGGTGTGGACGAAGGCATCCAAAATCCTACCGGCGGCATCTACAGCTCGTCGAGTGACCTGTCGAAATACCTCCGCTACGTCCTAACGCATTACAACGCCATCACCCACGCGATAAACTGGTTACATCCCGTCTCTTCGTCTCGCGGATTGAACTCCTTCTATGGCATGCCGTGGGAGATTTACCAAACAGACCGCATACTTGAGCAGTCGAAACGTACAGTACGCTTTGTCACTAAGAGTGGAGGGCTGCCAGGCTATACCTCCATCATCATAACAGTGCCGGAGTACGACTTGGGTATCACTATTCTAGTCGCGGGCCCCAACGCAATCTTATCCAAGATCAGGGACGTCGTTACAGTAAAGATAGTACAAACAGCCGAAAAGCTTGCCATACAGCAAATGCGTAATCGCTATGCGGGCACCTACATCACTTCAGATCCAGAAGTGAACTCTACAGCCACACTGAAAGCTGATTACCGCGGTCTTGTTGTTACAACCTTTGTTTCCAACGGGACGGTTGTCTTCGAAGCACCGATCACGAAAGACGCGACGACTCCGCCCCAATATGCGCAGCTTAGCCCAACGCTTCTCTATCGCAACGAGGAAGAAGAGCAGGGGGAGGAGTGGCGTGCATTGATCTTCGAGGAGCGCGCAGAAGGGCTGGGCTCTATTTGGGACGACTTCTGCGTGGAGGACTGGGAAATGTCCCGCTACGCCGGCATACCTTTGAACACAGCGGTGTTCTGGGACGAGCAAAAAGACGGTCATTTCGAAACACTAGAGCTACCGGCTTTCCGCGTGAATCTCACAAGAGTGGATCAGAAGAGGGGGTCGAATAGGAAGTATGGTCAACAAGAAACGATGGAGCTCTAAGGCCCCACATTGCAGACCGGCAGGGCGGCTTGCGGTCATCCTCTCCACCACGTGAATCATGGCCGAACGACGAATCTACAAGTCGCTGCAGCTAGTACGGATCACTTGAGCATGTACCACGTTCCCCTAGAATCGCTGCAGAACGAAGGATTCGCCAAAACTCGCCAATCTTTCTGTCCACAGCGCTTGCATCTGCCGTGTCCAAAGAACATTCGGTTTTATCACAGCGACCATGGGTGACTGACTAGCCTAGTGTTTCCGAGCTTTATTAAAGACCGTGCTAGAGGGGATCTACATGCGGAGCTAAACTCTAAAACTTACATGCAGGGCCAAACCACGTTTTCGCAAAGACGATTGCCATTACTTGGGAGCAGTGGAATACCGTTCTTCACCGGGTTCATGTACCTCCGATGATCGACGCTGCTAGTGTTGGAACTGTTCGAGGGATTCTCCACTAGCGAGGCCTTGTAACTGTATACACTAGGCAAGCCTTGTGGCAATTGGCAGAACGCCAGAATGATTGCCACGTCAAACGCCGATCAGGTTCGCATCATGTTCACCTCCTCGTGATGCCTGACAGGCCGACATTCAGTACTGTGAGAACATGGGTGCTCATACAGCTACCGGCCCCGATAATCTCGCTTGAGCGCGTCATACATATCTTGGCACAATCTTCCTCACTTGCAAACGTCATACCTCATAGACAAAGTATGTGAACTTTCGACACATTCGACGTGTGAAGCCAGCAAAGGTAAAGGCCAGACATCGGAGGGTTTGTCGCTCGTTGGGCTCAAGATCCACGTGGAATTCGCCGTAGCAGCGGCACAGCAACGAACTAAAGTCAGGGCACCGTCTAGCTCATAGACTGCCGATTGCGGCCGAGCACGTTTTGTGTGGCGCGCCTTGTGGAAGACACTCCGTGACGAGGATGGCAGCTGCACTACGTGGTGCTTGTAACATACTAACGGTGCTTTGATGTTCGGGAGGCTAGGATTTTGACGTCCATTGCCGCCTCTGCGTAACCTGTACCTGCCGTGTACAAGCCCCTGTTCTTATCCTGGTTCATATGGCTTTTTGTTTTACCCTGTTTGATCCGCAATCCGTCGCTTAACATAATTCTCCTTCCTCTTTTGTTTTCTCGCGCAGGGCTTCTCGTACGGCGTTGTCTCGATACGTACTGTCGGAAACAATCTGGGGTACAGCCTCGTCACATGCGGGTTCCGACATGAAGTTCTTCTCCGCACTACTGTGCCTTGTCTTTGCGCCTTTGTCTTTTGCGCAAAGTCAGAGCGGTAACGATGTGCTTGCGTCTGCGGTCAAGAATCTGCCTCCATGCGCGGTATGTAAACCATGTCGATTTACGAGACTCCATACTGATTTCGGTCATATAGTTAGATTGCACACTCACGATAATCTCATCATCAACATGCCAGCTGACAGACATCGACTGCATCAAAGGCAACGAGAAGCTTCTCGATGACTTGAGCAAATGTGTCTTGGCTAGCTGTAAGCCAAAAGAAGCACTGAGTAGGTCCTCTCTCATAATCATTCGTTGAACTTTGTGCTAATTTCCTGAGAAGCGGCGAAGAGGTTTCTTACTGAGTTGATGGATGCGCCCATTCGAAACAAGACGGAACAAGGAACAGTCACTACAATAGTCTTTGGAGTGCTATCCTTGGGAGCCTACATTCTTCGCGTAATCGCACGCCTACCCTGGTTCGGCGGAAACTGGGGCATTGACGATTGGGTTATGACTGCGGCCATCATACTCATCATCCCGCTCACGATATGCGCGTACCTTCTGAACCTTTTGGGGCTGGGTACGGATATGTGGATGGTGTCTTTCGAGAACATCACCAAGATTCTCGAGGTATGTGATGAGTTAAGCAAGCCATGATACCCTGCGCTGACCAACGTTCGATAATAGATCTTCTACTACACTGAGCTTCTCTACCTTGCGTCAATCGCATTGACCAAGATAGCAGTCTTGCTCTTCTACCTTCGCATCTTCCCTCACCAAGGTCTCCGGCGCGTCATCCACGTTACCATCGTAATCTGCATCATGTACATCATCGCATTCGTTACAGCGACTGCGCTGCAATGCATCCCGATACGCATTGCGTGGGAACACTGGGACGGCGAGCATCACGGAAAATGCATCAACCTCAACGCCGATGCCTGGGCTTCTGCCGCGGTCAACATCCTTCTCGATCTAGTCGTCATTGTTATCCCTATGAGAGAGCTCAGCAAGCTTGCCATGACCCGTCGACGCAAATTTGGCATCATGTGCATGTTCCTAGGTGGAGGCTTGTAAGTTCATTGCCCATATCTCAATCTTATCTCTGCTAACACCTCCTCAGCGTCACCATCGTCAGCATCCTCCGCCTCAAATACATGATCCAGTTTGCGCAAACCACCAACGTAACTTGGGATTACCTACCCATCGGATACTGGTCCGCCATCGAAGCCCATGTCGGTGCCATCGTCGCCTGCGCACCCGCAATCCGCCAACTACAACGTTCCATCCGCGAACGCATCTGGCCCAAACAGAAGACACCAAGTCAATACTACTATGCCGAGAACTCCGGCAACAGCAGCAAGAAGAACAACGGCAGCAAAGACCTCAAGTCCCGCATCTGGCTACCAAAGACCGATCGCTCCCAACTGAGCACTCTGGGCCGGAGCAAGATGGACAAAGACGACTTCGTCCGCCTAGACGAGTACGAGATGGGCGTTGGCATGGGCGGAGAGGACGACGTCCTCACAGATAGGAATTCACCGGAAAACTCATCGGAAGGGTCGCTGGATAGGTCGTTCAAGTCGAATGAGGATGTGCAGCCGTTGGCCGATGTAGCGGCGCCGGCGCCGGTAGTTGGTTCTCCAATGGGAGGTATCATGGTGCAGTCGGAGTACAGTGTTGATCGGGGGAGCTCGCATCCGAGTTTGCAGGCTTTACCGCCGATTCAACATAAGAAGGAGAAGTCGTTGGATGCGAGGAGGTGGCTTTGAAGTGCGACTCTCCACGATCTATGAACTTTGGCAGATACCCAATAATACATCCTAATGCATCGAAATACAATTATTACATATGAACGCGTGAGAGCCCTATCGTATTGTGCTCGCGCTTTACGCGTTCAACTAAAGACATTCTATCCACAGCCAAACAGTTCCAATACAAAACCCCATCACACCACAGCTCACCAACCCCCAAACCCGCCGCACCCCCGAACAGCCATCCCCACCTATCGCAAAGATCCAAATACCATACATCGTAAGCAGAACAGCCAAGCCTACCAACCTCTTGACAACAGCCAACGATTCAAGCACCAGCGCAGCGGCCTGACGCGTGCCGGCACGCCTCGCCCACTTGCCGCACCAATAACACCAGCCAGGAAAACAAGGCAGCTACGGCGGTTCTTGAATCGCGACATTGCGCCAGCGTAGGAAGTTAGGGTGGGGTGGGTCGTGGGACCCGCACCGGCTCGGTAGATCAGGCCCCACTGTGTGAGGCTAAGGGAGGAGCAGGGAGGGGGTTGGTGGCTCGGTGGAGGCTCGGGGTTGTGGTTGGCTTTTAGGAGTGCGATACTCTGCTGGGTAGTGCTGACAATTCGAAGTCGTTGTCTGTGCATTGTGTTGCAGCATCTTGTTGGTCGGTCATGGTGCCGTCTTCCACCGACGGCAGCTTGCCGTCATCTTTCTTTTCTGCTTGCTTGTCCCACAAATAGAATATCAAGAGAACAATGCCACTAACTGGGATAGCGATTGCGAAGAACAGCCAGACGTTGCGGCTCGCTTCGTCGAACGGGACTTTTCCCGCGATACCGTTGAAGAAGTTCATCCCAAAGAACGATGTCACGAATGTTGCTGGTAGAAATGCGATAGTGACCCAAGCTATACCACGCATAGTACGACTGTCGCGTTTCGTCTCTTTGGCGATTCTGATGCTTTGCTCCAGAAGCTCTCCCTCTCTTCTCGCCCGGATCTTTTCCTCAGCCTTCTGGTCATTCTGCAGCTTGTATCGATCTTTCTTTCGTTTCTCTTCTTGTTCCTGGAGCTGCTCCTGTTTTTCTTGCTGCTTTTCCGCAACAACATCCTCGATATGCTGATGAACATCTATAAGAACTTCTCGCAAACGATCTGGATGATACTGCTCTACCCCTCGAGCTACCAGTAGCAAGTTTTCCTTTTCATCCATGTATCTTAGCGGTTTGAAGATAGCGTCCGCCCACTTTGCTGCATCCATACTGAATACAAACTTCTCCTTCAGGCTTGCAGCCCTAACATCGCGGCTGATAGCATTGAGTCGACGAAGCAAGCTGCTTGGGCGTTCTTCGGAATCCACAGATTTTTCAACGTCTTGAATCCCTGTCATGCATGCCTTCAAGTCGTTCCCAACGGCTTGCACGTAATGGAGTACAATCTTGTGAAGAACGCTGGCGAAAGCGCGAAAGGGTTCGTCCGCTATATCTGGGTTGGGATCGCGTTCAAGACCGTACCCTTCCATGTGCCTTTCGAATGTCCAAAAGCTCAATTCAAAAGGAAAGCCCCTTCCGTCATAGGCGAGTATTACCTGCCATCGTCTTCGAACACCTTGGCTCTCTCCCCTGTTGAGCGAGAGTCGTATGTAGGGAACAGAGCTAACCGGTGTCTCGAACAGTATATCGTGTTTGTCTTCATCACAGAGGCGCCCAGTAGTTGTCGTATGGTTGAATCCGGACAACAGACATTGGACATGGCTTCTGATGACGTTTTCTGCGCTGAATCCATGATAAGATAGTGGCGAAGATGATGTTTTTCTATGCGGTAACGGCATCTCCACAAAGTTGACTGTGGCAACTAAATCATCGTCCTGGGTCAGAGGCGCTGAATCTTCTACCCTTCTATCGAGAAATGAGTTTATTTCCTCGAACGTCTCAGGAGTCGAGTTTCCAGGCGATGTTTGAACAAAATGTTTCAGTTTGGTATCGTAGGTGAATACGTTGGACTTCGCTTCTTGGAGAATCTCACGCTTGAAAGCCCTGTATTCGCGGATCCCTCCTTTGAGTTGCTGCATAGCTGTCGAGGATGTGTCGAGAGTAGTCGAAAAGACAACCACACAAGGCTGGACTGCGTGAGGTGTTTAACACTCGGTCTCAGCTGCCAAGAGCGCCACACTCATGCGCCCCTCCAAGGTCTGCATGACAACTTCGTCCCGCAGATAGCCAAGACCATAAATAGCTAACAAAAACACGCCCCAGGCGCCAAACAGTTGGCTGAGATCAAACATGAGAATCTCATGCAGGTAAGCAGCCACCGCAAGATGACTCGACTGTCGGGGCCAGCCTGATCACACGATCGTCTCCGACTCTCCGTGGGATGTCAGGGGACAAATCTCAGCCTTGTGCACTCGGCCAAAGGATTGGATGTTTACAGAAATAAGGAAAGATAAGCTAGTTGAATCAAAAAAGGCATTTCTCAAAGAACCATGAGTCAACCTTGCAGTCACCAATCAGCGGCCAGATGCGCATGAAATAACGAACAGGGCCCACCTCTAACAACATAACGAACCGCATCACCTCTTTTGCTTTATCACATACCCCACAACCCTATCACATCCCACAAAAAGAAACCCCACTATCATCCCAAATCCGGCGCCACCCTACCCCCCACCACCCCCTCCCACAACCCCGCAACATCCAGCAACAACCCCTCCGTATACTTCCCCCCAACAACAAGCAACCCAAACGGCCGTCCATTTCAATCTAGATACCCCAGTGGCAGAGTCACCGACGGATACCCTATTATCTTAGTAAGAGACGCTCGTAGAAAGACAAGGCAAGACAAGGCAAGGCAAGGCAAGGCTAAGAACTTACTAGCCAAAGCAACAGCGTCAGGGAGCCGGCTATCAGCTGGGCCTATAATCACGTCGACGTTGTGCGAATGGAGGGTTTTGTCGATTGCGTTGGTGGTGGCTGAAAAGGTGGCTTTGGTGTCGAGACGGGTGTACTCTGCATCCGTGAGCGAGTTCGCTGCTTGGAGGCTTTGGATGAGGAGGTCTTGCCGAGGGGAGTCTGGTGATAGTTGGGTTTAGCGGTGAACAGGAGATGAGAACGCCATTGCTGGGTTGGTACTTACGCGCTGGTAACTCGATCTCGCGATGTCGTTCGTTGAAGTCGATCAACTGCTTTAGGGTCTTGACTTTAGGTGAGATCAGACCATCTGTGTAGGCTTCGAAGAGGTTGGAGAAATCGTTGTCTGGGATACGTTAGTGTGGCTTGCACCGCGGCATTGATGAGCTCACTGATTATGGTTAGGACGTCGTTCATGCTCTCATCCAATGCCTCATCGGTAATCAGGTCGACTGGTCCAACAACGCGCTTAGCGAGGCTTGCGATCTTTTCGTAAGCCGCATTTGTCTCACGTATCTTTTCTTCGAGTAAGCTATGGTTCTAGATCTTTCAACCTATACTTACAATTTGATCCAACGCCCCCGGTCGCGATTTCTGCACCCCCTCCGCCAAACACCAACGGCCTGGATCCAAAGTAGCAAAAGAAACATCCCTCCACTCCCTCGAAACCCCAGTCCCATACCCCTGGTCAGGCACTCCCGGATGCTCAACATCCACAACAACATTCAGCAACCCAACAAGATCCTCCACACTCTTCGCCATAGGCCCAACACTATCCCTGTCCTTCGAAAACGGGAAGCATCCGTGTTCCGATACTATACCAGGTGTAGTGCGGATAGTATACAGCGCAGCACGAGTAGCTGGATTCGTGAGAGAGCCGTTGAAGTCGGCGCCCATGGAGAGAGGGGCGAAGCCTGCGCTGATGGCTACGGCTGAGCCTGTTGATGAACCGGATGGGTTCTGTGGGGTAGTGAGCAGTAAGATACGGGTTCAGGCGCAGAGAGGTTTTACTGAATGGCCGTAGATACCGTCGTCGATCACACCACCGCGCACATATGCGGATTGCGTCTGACCGCCACGTGCTGACCAGCCTCCGCTCATTCCGGACGCTCTGGAGAGGTCAGCCAATAATTTTTCGCACCTCTGTTCCCTGTTCATGACTCACTTCCAGTTCCCAAATTGCTGTCTCCATTAGCTCAAAAGCCCCCAGACACCAACCCCAAACATACAGAAAGATTCGCCTTCCCCATCAAGATCATCCCAGCATCCACCGCCATCCTAATAACCCTAGCAGTCTCTCTGGGCTGAGACCCCTCAAACGCCCACCCACCATTCGTTGATTCGAGCTGGAATTCGCTCGACGTATCCATGGCATCTTTGACAATAAACGGAACCCCATGCATCCCACCCCTCACAACCCCCCTCCGTCTTTCCTCATCCAGCTTAGCCGCAATCTTCTCCAGATGTGGAAGCGGTGAGATGGATATCATAGCCTTGAGTCTGTCGTTGTGTTTGAGGATCTGGGCGTGGTATTGGCGGACGAGATCGAGGCTGGTGATCTTACCGTCGGTTAGTAGGCGCTGTAGCTCACTCGCTGTGACGTTCAAGAGGTCAAGTTCCATGTTGGATGTGATTCGGACAAAGTGGAGTGTAAGCAGACTCTTCTTGAGATGGTGATGAAATTCAGGTGTTGAAAGCGGACTGAGGATGTGCACCGCTGATGTTATCGATAATTGCCTGGGGGTGGGCGTGTGGTTCCGTTGCGAAGGGCCGCCCTTACTTCAACCCCACGGACGCTACCTAATCCAGTTGGCTCAGATAGCGTGCAATAGTAGCAGCAAGATGAACGAAGACTGTGATTGCGCAAACAATTGAAGTCAACTTGATCGAAGCTCATGAATTGTAGTCTGAGCGCTTCCAGTCTGCGCTAGAGTGATCTGTATTGCTCTCACTATGCAAATTCCAGCGCATTTCTCATTCCATCACAGCTTCCCCTTATCACCCAGTCACGCATACCCATTCGCCTTAAGCCACTCCCTAACAACCCCCGCATCCCTCTTGGCATAAGCCGCATAACTCCTAATAGTATCATCCACAACCTCGAGCCCCTTATTATACCCCCTGGTATCCTTGCCCTTGAAGAACTCCTGAATCTCATCGGCGACCTTACTGTCCGTAAACTTATTCAGACCAAACCTGAGGAACCTCTCCAGCACAACAGGGTTACCAGCAAGCGCGGGGTGTACCTTGCTATCCCAGTTATCGCGAATGTAGTGCCAGACCTCCGGGCGGACCTTTGAGTTGTTGGCGAGGGCAATGGTGGAGCTGTGCTTGTCTTGCATGGCGACGGCGTCGGAGAAGACAAAGTCCATGACTTGCCTTGCGAGGTCGGGGGTTTGGACGCGGCCGAGGGAGCCGAGGCAGATTTCTTTGCCGTCGATGGATGTGGTGTGGAGGTATTCGTTTTGGACGGCTTTGAGGGCTGGTTCGCCGCGGTTCTTGATGGCGGTGGCGAAGACGGCGCGGCGGAGAGAGGGGTGGATGGCCTTGTTGTCTCCGTTGATGTAGGCGTCGAAGCGCTTGAGGGCCTCGTCGACGGTGGCTTTGTGGCCGACGATGCCGGCGGAGAGGACGAGGCTGGCGCGAAGTTGGCCGACGAGGTAGTTCTCGCCATCCTTGAACTCCCAGCCGACCTTTTCGACTGCTGGGGTGATGAGCTTGAGGTGGTACTTCCTCAGTCCCTCGCTGATGTCTTCGCTGCCGGAGAAGACGCTGCGGACGTTGCCAATATTGGTCAGAATCTGAGACCATACAAGGTAGTCAGACTCGTCCTGGAAGCGCTCTGCCAGTGCGAGGAGACCAGCGGTGGAGCCGTAACCTGCCACTGCGTTGGCGTAGGCGTCACCAACGAGGCCAATCTTGTCTTGTACGGTGAGCTGATCGCGATCTTCTCCAAGCTTCTTCAGGCGGTCCGCAGGGTAGTTGGTACGATAGAAGCCAGTGAGGTCCTTGTTGAGCAGGTAGAAGCTGTCACTGACGTTGCGGATTGTGTCTTCCTTCTGTGTCATAGCAGTGGTCTCGTGGACAGAGGCGCTGGAAGCTGACTCGCCAGAGTGAAGGCCAAGCGGAATCCACCAGGTAGTTTGGTCCTCTTCAGGCTTGACGTTACCCGCAAGGAGGAAGCGCTGTTGACGCAGTCCAATCTGACCAGGCTCTTCGGCTACGGTGACGACTGGGAAACCAATCCTGCGAACCCAGAGGTCCATGAAGGTGTTGACATTCTGACCAGACGCTTTGCTCAGGGCAGACCACAGGTCGTTGGTAGTGGCGTTGGAGTACTGGTGGGCCTTGAGGTAGTCGGCAACACCTTGCAGGAAAACCTTCTCGCCAAGGTGAGCGCTCAGCATGCGGATGACTGAGGAACCCTTGAGGTAGGAGATGTGGTCAAAGATCTGGTCGACCTCAAGACCGTCGTATACGGGTACTTCGATGGGATGCGATGTTCGTAGTGCGTCAAGGGCGAAAGCTTGTTGGACGGATTCAGTCTAGAGAAACAGTCAATAGGCTGATAGTAGATACCTCGAGATTTGTGACGTACGACGAACTGTCCCCAGACGTTCCATTCTAGTGGGAGTTAGCAGAGTTCTGCCGAAGTAGTGATTTGACGTACCTGGGTATAGATGATCAATGGCAAGCCATCCGACCCATGTCGCGAAACCCTCGTTGAGCCAAAGCTCGCTCCACCAGTCCATGGTGACCAGGTTACCGAACCACTGATGGGCAAGTTCGTGAGCAACAACGTAGGCGACCCTGTTGCGGTAGCTGTCGGCAGATGTGGCGGGATCGAAGAGTACGGCAGTAGTCCTAGTTACGTTAACATGAAGTCCAGCTTGTTCAAAGGACTCGACGCACCTGTAGGTAATGAGACCCCAGTTCTCCATAGCTCCGTGCGAGAACTCGTGAACAGCCAGCAGATCGACCTTGGGAAGAGGGTAGTCGATCTGGAAGACCTCGGAGAAGTAGTCGACAATCTTGTGGCAGTTGTCCAGAGCAAAACGACCCTGCTCCTTGAGACCGCGGGTGGTGTAGACCCTGACGGGAATGTTCTTGCCGTTGTACTTGCGCTCGGTGAAAGCCTCGACGTACTCAAAGTCACCGATAGCCCACGCCAGCAGGTATGTAGACATGATGGGTGATCGCTCGAATACGACAGTGTGAAAGCCGTCCCGCTTGCTGGGCTTGATCTCCTTCTCGGGCATGTTGCTGAGGGCGACCTGGTCTTTGGGCACTTCCAGCTCGACATCGAAGGTGGCTTTCAGGTTGGGCTCGTCGAAGCAGGGGAAGGCGCGGCGGGCGTCGCAGGCCTCGAATTGGGTGCTGAACATGTAGTGGAACTCGTCGTCCTTTGCGACGGAAGCGGGGACGTCGCCCTTGGGCTTGTACTTGGAGCGGTAGAAGCCGGCCATGATGTTGTTGACGAAGCCCTCGAACTTGATCTCCAGCTGAGCCTCGCCAGAGTAGCTGATCTTCTCGCCGAAGTCGAGTGTAACCTGTTGCCTCTTCTCATCGTATGAGATGTCCTTTGCTGACAGTGACTTGTCGCCAGCCTTCAACTCGGCAGTTTGCAGCTTGAGCTGATGTGCGTTGAGAACGAGCGTGCTGAAGCCATCGTCCTTTGTGATCTTGGTGGTGATGTTGACGGTGCCCTTGTAGGCAAACTTGCCGCCGAATTCGAGGTCGTGGAGGGAGAGGGCGTAGTGCGAGGGTTTGGCCCTGCATGTGTCAGCGTGGTCCTATTGGAGAGATATTAACTAACCATGCGGGGAGGACGTCGCGATCTGAAGCCATGTTGACGAAACTGCTGGTGACTTCGCTCTGGCAGAACCTCTTTTGTGCTGCAAACGTGTTTGTGTTTGCTACGGCAAGCCTCGGTCTTAGGCGTAGTTGGGTACGTGGGGCAGACTCAAGCTCTCTAGCTGCAGAAGAGAAGCTTCTAGAGCGGCTAAGGTGGATCGAGGTGAGTGAATGCGATACAGCAGAATACAGACGCGTCGAAGGATTAGCTCTACACCTCAATTGTCGAGAGCAGAGTCTCGCAGAGGCAGATAGAGTAGCCAGGATGAAGGTCCGCGGGGTAGATAACCTCGAGCGAACGAAAGAGGAAAGAGGGGTGTCTATGTTTCAATTGGACTGGCATGAGATGATGCGTATAGGCTTAGAGGGGAAGGTGCGCGTGCGGCACGCCGAAGCGCCCCACCTAGGCTGAATCCCTGCGTTCGGCTCTAGCGCGGGGTCTTGGGTGCATTTATCTAGATGCAGATGCGATGATGCTTGGAAGTTGAAATAGTTCTTATCTTGTTACATTTGATGGGCCGTTGTGATGGGGTGTAACGCGTCGTTTCTGCAATGCCCTCTGCCTTCTCCATATGCTTGTAGCACATCTATCACGCATGACTCGGTGGATATCAATCCTGAAAGTGGTATGCCATTGACGCCTGCAAATGCTTCAGTATACGCCCAGCCATGCGATAGTATCCTTTCCACCACGCCTACCAGCCACAAACGCCTCGCACACCTCTACATTGCAGACCAGCACCCCATCTTCCCCCTCCACCCCCCATTCAAACCCTAATCAAAACATCCAAACATTGTATCCTCCACTCCTTCTTCCCCAACAACCCCTTAACCCACTCATAACTCTGCCCTCCAGCTTCACTCCCCTGCCCTAGACCAACCCTCCCCCTAACCCCCTCCACCGCCCCCCTCACCACCGCCTTGGCCGTATGATTCGCCGCCTGCGCCAACACACCCGCTGTTTCCGCAACAGTGCCGTTCAGCGCCAGCTCCGCGCTATCGGACAGCGGCGCATCGAACCACGGGGTGTGGAAGTCGAAGAGGGCGACGACGAGGATGAAGAGGAGGAGCGAGCAGTACACGCATGGCCGGTTTAGGAAGTAGGTTGCTGAGATGAAGAGGACGAGGTAGACGGGTGAGGCGTGCGTTCGTAATCTGCGGGGGACGTGTTAGAGAGGGAATGCGCGTGGAGTGGTTGGTAGGAAATGGGTGGGTGGGTGCTTACAAGAAGAACAGGACGGGGATCCAGCTGCGGAGGCAGAACATGGCGGGTTGGTGGGTTGTGGGTGTGACTTTAGGTGTGTGTAGGTAGGGAGCCTCGCGTGCGCACGCTGCAGCCCTAATGGCCCTGACGTATTCGTCGGTCGGTCGTGTGAGGCGCGCACTTTACGGCGATAACTGAGGCGGAGGCGATAATCGTCGACGGCGGACGTGGATGCGCTGACTAATGCGATAAGTCGGCGAGGCGAATGGGCAACGTGAAAACAGCGAGCGGACGAAGAAATAGCAAAAGGGTTTATTAGGATAACAAAGTATCAAAGGTAAGAGGGCTGACGGCTGCGAGATGCATGGATGGTGCGGAGTCCTGGCCGCCGAATTAGCGTCCGCTGATTGGCAGTGCGCCTCCAGGTAAGCATTCGGCTCTCCTTGATGCCTCGAGGCTGCAGTCGGTGGCGCACATGCATGCACTGCTTTTCTCCTGTCTCAGCCTTATCGCTTGCATATTCAGTACAATCCTCTGACCATCTCACGTCTATTCATTTCAAGGTATCTTCCTACATGCCCATTCCCCGTGGTGTGATGTCGTCCAACGCCCAACCAGCCAACTATCAGAGGCTACCTCCTTCCATAAAAATGCCACAAAACGCCCACCTAACACAAATATGCCCAGATACGAAGCAGAGTAGGACCGAACTCGGCCGCCAACAGCAGAAGGGAGCAGCGTCCATGCGCGCGCGGTCTATACGGGCAGATTGAACTTCTTGCCTTGGATAACCCTGAACATTTAATTAGCATGTTGATGCGCCTTCAACGGCGGTTGGGGACGTACTTGGTGTAGTAAATGTAGAAGAAATCAGAGTATAGGATCGTCTGGATGATGCCGGCAATCACCGCGATCGGATCGTAGAACTTGGGCACCTCGAAGAAGTAGCGGTAGATCCAATTGGGGATGTACAGCGCCCGGTACGCACCCAGCGCGAACAGGTAGTGTGTCGTGATCGTTTCCGCCTCGCCGGTTCTCTGCAGCATGAAGAGCTGGGGCAGAATGGCGACTGATTCCAGCCAGATGGAGAAAGCCCAGAGAATCTATTTCAGTCAGCACCTTCCTCTTCCATTACAAGTCCTGCTGCTACCCACCTCAGAAAATGTGTATTTGTACGGAAACAGTATCGCCAGCACCGCGCTCGCTCCCAGCAGATATTGCACCTTGAACGTGTCGAGATTCGGGTCGTGCGTCGGCTTGTAGTCGTTGAGCATGAGGTAGACGGTGTAGGCGGATGTGCTGATGAAGATGATTTTGAAAATGGTATTGTAGAGCGACTTGGGTTCGTAGAAGGTCCACAGCAGGTCGACGTAACGCGTGAGATAGACCATCAGATAGAGGAATTGTGACTTGAACGAGATGCCGGACGCGCTCTATGCCATGTCAGTATATGCGGCGCATCACGTGTGCAATTCCGATATACGTACGCTCGACACCTTCATCTTATGCAGCAGAATCAGGATGGATAGCAGGTGGGATAAATCCCCTAGACGGGTTAGCCCATCATACTCGAAGCATCATTTGGTGTCGCGAGGCCTACCCAGCAGTCGGAAGAGGTTCATCATGGCGGTGCGTGGGTCGCTGGTCGCGGCGAAAGGAGCGGCAGAGGTTTGGCGACGTGAGGCGTGGTGGGCGGTGGTGGTTGAGTGCCTGACATAAAAGACACGTTCCGCCAGCTGCTTCACGTAGGGATGGAGCTGTGGAGCCTTGCACGCCAAGACATGCCCCTGCCGCCAACGTCATCCCGATCGCCGCTACTTCCCGCTGCAGTTCGCACCACTGTCGCCATACACTCACCACTTTTATCAGCAGTCGGACATGGCTTATGTTCGTGGGTGGAAAGACATCCTCAGGCCGATTCGCGATGGTTACCGCCATCTATTTCCCACCCCGGACACTGGGCCTACGCCGGAAGAGAGACGCCGTCAGCGCGCATTAGATCGACTGAAGGGCTTCGCCTACTTCGATACCTTTGATCAATTGGAATCGTGGACCGAGGCTGACTCTGACCCTCTGCAAAGAGCCAATACGCCGTTGTTGCGAGCCACCGGTGGAGTTCCGACCGACGACTGCAAAACTGGTGTTCTATTGATCCATGACTATTCTGGCAACTACCATGACTACGAAAGCGTGCAGGCCGTCGGTGTAGACAAGGAACTCTACTCGTGTGAATATCTCCAGTTTGTTGATACTTTTGTCTACTTCTCTCATAAGCTGGTCTGCGTGCCCCCGCCAACATGGACGAATACGCTGCACAGAAACGGTGTGGAAGCGCTGGGCACCTTCTTAATCGAGCCGCAGACTGAAGGCTCGGAACGTTTGTTGAATCATACAACAGAAGAGTCTGGGGATTTGAACTTTCCCATGGCGGGGAAGTTGGCCTCCATTGCAACACACTTCGGCTTTGATGGCTGGCTCATAAACATCGAGAAGCCGTTCCCAAGCGACGTGTGGGATCCAGAGGTCCTTGAAGCATTTCTACGTCAGCTGAGAGACGAACTAGGAGTCACCAAGCGACTCATATGGTAATAGCCTCACATCCACTATCACGCATGACTGACGCATGACTCTAACCCAGGTACGATGCGCTCACCATTTCAAACAAGATATCCTACCAGAACGCGCTGACCAGCTCCAACCTCAAATTTGCCGACGCATGCGAAAACCTACTCACGAACTACTGCTGGACGGATGTTGATGTGTCTGAATCAATGAAGCTCGGACAGTACGCTGGCTATTTTGGCCGTTTCGCCAAAGGCAAGAAGAAGAGTATCTACTTTGGCGTGGACGTCTGGGCACAGAACAAGTCTAGTTCTACCCACCCTCGCGTCACATATCCTGAATATGGGGGCGGTGGTACAAACACTGGAGTCGCATTGGCCAGACTCTCGGATACGGGTCAATCGGTTGGCATCTTTGCACCAGCATGGTCGTTCGAGCATTTTCCAGGCCATGAGCGGGACGTCGTACGCACCGTCTGGGAAGGTACTTCACTACCAGAGGGCATTGAGTGCACCTGCGGAGACTGCACATCGCGTCATCCACCAAACAAAGAGCTTCCAATCCTACATACAGCCAAAGAGCGCGTGGCGGGCTCAGAACACTTCTTCTACACAGACTTCACCCGCGCATTCTCTCCACATGATGACGACGCAAGATACCTATTCAACAGCAGCAACACGCACTCACAACTAGGCTCGCAATCCGTCTTTCCACGTCCAGCCAGCCTCATCCCCGGGAGCGAAGACGTCACACTCTCCCATCACATAGAACACTCTCACAACCAAAACATCCTAGTCATCTCCTTCATCTCCTTAGTCCCACAACAGCCAACCGAAGACTGCGACGTTCAAGTCTTCCTTCCCCTCTACAAACTCGACATGCCAGCCGATGGATCCCTGCAACTCTCGATGGTGCTAGACAGCTACGAGGATCCTAGACCACCGGAAATGGAGGACATGACGTTTTTTTTGTACTTCAAATCGGGTAGAACGACGCATTATCACACGTTGCATCTATCGCGAGAGCCGATCCTGTTGCTAGATAGTGTGCCCGGAGCGAGGATAGAAGAGCTGGGTATACAAGTTAAAGGCCCGTTGATGGGGACTTTACGTGGGCCTGTGAGGTTAATTGGTTTCAAAGAGATTTGCATTTCGCCTACATTGAAACTACCTCCAAGCTCTTCTTTCAGCATTAAAGATGTACGGGTCGAGAATCGCGGTGAAGGGGGGAGTGCGCATGCCAGACTGTGCTGGAACTACAAGGATGCAGCGACTTCCAAATCCAAAACGGCAGGTATGCCATGGAGCGACATCACCGGCCCGTTCGCGCACTTTACAATTCGAAGTAAAGGGCTGCTTCTGGCGAAGGCGTATGCATTGGAGCACATTGTCAACGAGAAGTTCGTGGAGCGGTATACTGGGCAAAAGATTGAGATTGAGGTCGTAGGCATTGGCTTCGATGGACGGACACTCGCGGAGACGAAAGTCACGCTGGAGCTGTAACGTGGTTGAATCCACTTCCTTCCACGGTACTGCGGTGACGCAGAGCAGACGAGCCACTCACGACTTCCGAAATCCACATCGCATCTACCCAAATTCGCGAACCTGGGTTAGAAGCTCTGTATCAGCGTGGAGGTGGAGGTAGCGCACTATAGGTATATAAACCTCCGTCCGCTATTTTTCCCCATCAAGTCTGACTTTTCCAGCATGCAAACCTCACAGCAAGATTCACCATTCCCTTGTAAACCGGATATGGAAGCTCACCAAGAATGCCCCTGTCCTTCAACAATGAAGATAGACGCCCTAAAGTCCGAGTGCGAATTTTACCTCAACAGCTGCCCGGGGAGATCGAACCTAGCCCCAAACACAGCGTTCAACGGCATCACCCAAGACTTTCTTGACGGAAAGTATGACGACAATAACGAGGCCCTGGACATAATCACCAAAATGGTGTCGTATCGCAACACCTTAACGAGATCAGCAACAGCACTATTGGCCCTCGCGGGGATATTCAAGCCCAACGGATTAGACTGCGCGGAGTTCGACTTTGAAACTTTCCAAGAATCGCAGGAGTACAAGAATAAGAGGGGCAAATACGAACATGCCTTAAGGCAGGTCGCTCGGTTCGATAGGGTCTTTTTTCCTCCTCCAGATGACGAGGAGGGGAGGCCGTGGGTTAAGCCGGTTAAGTATGTCGCTGCGGCGCTGACGCTGGATGATAATATCGACTCGAGCGAGGAGATTGCGGATGCGGTGCAACGGATTACATCGAGTATGTACATGAGCCTCTTCATTCTGCAATGGCGCTAACGACAATATGTACATAGGCTACCTGAAGTCTCTTCTTCATAAAGATGAAAAGGAAGCCAACAACTCTACGGCCCAAAACGAGGCGCCCAAAAGCCTCCCAGCACCAAAGTACGCATACTCTCAACCCGAGTAAACCGCCGGTCCAGGGCTAACATACTTGAAGCTAGAATCATAAATCGCCTTCGTGAAGACCGGATCACTAGTCTTGTAACCCCCCGGAAAGCTAACACCACTCGGCGTCGCACTGCCACCCCCAGTAACCTTGACCTGGAAGCAACTAACATACGGCTGCGGGTTATTCGCACCAGCATGCAGCGCAATCGCCTCGGCGCGGACCAAGTAATCGCCAGAAGCAATGTTCTTGGGCACGGTAAAGGCGCGCTTTCCGCAGTTCGCGTTGAGAATCTCGGTGCCCCACGAGGCTGTTGTGCCCGTGTACCCGTCTTCAGCGACTTTGAAGAAGGAACCACTGGTGGTGGTTTTGGCGTCCGCGACTTTGGCCATGTATACGAAGACGGGGCCGTAGTGGTTGCCGCCGATGGCGGGTTGGGAGCAGGAGCGTGCGTTGGGTTGGGCGTGCATTTCGACGGTTAGGGAACTGCCGGCTGTGGGGGTTTTTGTCAGTATGTTATACAGTTCCACATCATCATATCCCCATCACATATTGCCTTGCTGGGCAAAGGATTCTGAAATGAACTCGAGGGAGCTTACCAGCGACTTCGCAAACGCCAGATGTAGAAGCTGGGCCGCGTCCGCAGAACATGTCGGGAGAGGTCAGACTGGTGATGGGGCTGTTGTCCTTGACAGTTCGCACACATGTGCCCGCTTTGTCTTCACTGCCGACCCAAAGTTCTTGCCAGGTCGAGTGAGCGGAGACGGTCGCCGCCGCAGCGAGGAAAACGGTGGCGTACTTCATCTTCGAATGGTTAACGGGATGAGATGGCAGAAAGCGCAAAGAGGGTAGGATGATTCGTATCGAGTCTTTTTCTCGACCACTGGCACCACTCTCAGTATTTATTCACCACGTTCGATTCTTTTGGTCATGCATACACCGTAGTACACTTCACCACTGCAATCTAACAGCGACGTTTAACATCCACCCGGGCCGCTGTACCAGTCTTTCCCTCGTCATCTCCGCACCTAGTCATGGCTTCCGACCACTATCTTCATCGTTTTCGCCCTGACCACTTAGATAGATTAACATCGCTGGCATCAAGCTTTCCTTGGCACCTGTCGGGTAGCGCGTGCCCCGTCAGGCCGTCAGCACTCAATTTGCACGACAGGTGCTCATTCGCCGGGATGGGGAAAGTGGAGGCGGAGTCGCAAATGTAAAGGGTTGAGACCCCAGGTTTCAGCCTTTTACCTCATTGGGCACGGCATTGGTGGTTTGGTACCGATGTCACATGGCGCAATGTGGGCGGAATTTGGACTTCGGACTGCAACGGTGGTGCTTGGCTATATGGAGGTCGTATATTATGTGCGTCATGGTGGTCACTGGGGCGGCTGCGTTTGGGCGATGCGAGGCCGTCATGTAAGCGTTGACATCTGGGCTGTTCAAGGGTTGCTGAGTTTCGGGCTCCGATGTGAAGTTGTTCGTACGTTCATTCGTTTTGCCTGAGGCATTTGCGCGTCTGCTGCATCTCGAAAGGTCGTTGTGATGATCCTCTCATGTTCCTGTTCGAGAATGCCGATCATTCGGCAATTTGGGCCTGGAGCCGCTCAAGAGGCTAGTCATCATTCAATTCGAAACGATCTGAAAATGCCAGAACGCTCACTATTGGTCTGAACTCGTCGATACCGCGATTGTTTCTTTTGTTTTCGCCTTGCATTTGTTCAAAGAGATGAGTAATGAAGGCCAACGGCGAATAGATAAGCGTCTGGGCGCCATCGACGCCTCCAGTCAAGTTTTGTTCTACTGCGAATCTTCGATAGATTGGACGTTGTTTAATCTTGGTCTTGGCGGAACGTAGTGCATGCGAGACTGTCTCTACCCGGGGATTTTCACGCCTCTTTCGTGATGGCACAATCAACAGTGCTCAAGAATGCCAACGGAGGAAGCGTTTGGCATCGCAATCGTATCGAGATCGACGCCAGTGGTATTCCCACGACCTGCGATGCAGAGTTTACCGGGTTTGCCTTGACGCCTCTTCCGTGCGCGGGAAAGAGCATCGATCCGCTAGTCCTTGTCGGAGAGAGGAAGACGTCCAGTTTACCACCGTCGTCCAGAATCTAAGCGCTTTCCACCTTCACACTCTTCTCCTTCTTCCCAAAGTAGTTCGCCAGAGTGTTCTTCTGCGCCGGCTTCTCTTCCTTCTTCCCATCCGCCTTCTTCTTCCCTTCCCCAATACCCATCAACTTCTTGAACTCTTCCCATTCGCCCTTTCCTACGATCCCTCCACTAGCCTCTTTATGCCCCCTCGCAAAGCTCTCCCCAAGCCGTTTTCTCAACTCTCCATCGCCTGCGACGATGCCCTCCAGCTTCTTGATGATGTCGACCTTCTCCTCTCCTTCGCGCGCTCTCGCGCATTTCGCAACGCGGCACGAGAAGTTGACTTTGTTAGGGAGGTAGCCTTCGTTTGCGCACATGACGATTTCTAGTTTGTTGGACTTGAGTGTGCCGGACCAGCGTGTTGCGATGACGGGATGTATTTGCGCGGCGCTTGATATAGTCAGAACAGCGATCGTAGCGTCAGCAGAGAACTTCGGGGCTGTGTGAGTGCAGCGTTCGGTCTCCCGTCTAACCTCCATGCTTGCATCTTTCAGCTTGTCGGCTTTCGAGATGTCTCCCGGACTGCTGGCGGAGATGACGGCATCCCAGGCGTCTTGCACATTGTATGCTGCTGATCTACGTGGTGCATTGGCCAAAGCCACGGCATCATTGATGGACTTTTTGGGATGCTGCTTGAATGTTGCCACCATGTCTGGAAAGGGGGGTTCCCACTTTATGCTGCTTCCGAGATCACCGTGGGTCCCTAGTGCTGCTAACCATGATATCTTGTCGTGTAGATCTGGGTGGAGAGGCAGACAGATGGTGTATGTTAGCAACGCGCTGGTTGCGACAGGCGGGCAGTCATGAGCTGTTACGTAATCGCTGCCTTCTGGGAAGCCGCCTTCATCTGCAAAGTGATGGTCTACTACGAGACATGTGTGGGGTGAGTCAATGACAGGCGGTGTTTTCCGGCTGCCTTGATCTAGAATAAAAATGTAGGAGGGCGACATGGCCGTCAGAGCCTGCTTTGTGCTTTCATCGTGTACATTAGAGCCTTTTGGTGGGAAGTAAACGGATATTAGATCGGCTGAGAGACCTAGAGCGGTGAGAGTGTGATGAAGTATGGCACCAGAGGAAAGTCCGTCTGCATCCTTGTCGGGTAAAATGACTGTTGGTTTTTGCGCTTCAGCACTGTGGCAGATTAGCACATAATGTCTCATCCGTCGAGTGTGTCTTGATGTACCATTCTCTGATAATCTCTCGCGCGCGCTCAATTTGTTCCTTCCTCGCTGGCCAGACATTCTCTCCCGACTCGTCCTGTCTTGATGGGGTAAGATGATACGCGGGGACGTCAGTCTTGGTTTTCGCCTTCGTTGTCGTCTTAGTCTTCTTAGGTTTTGGTGGCGATATATCTTTCTCAGCTTTCCGTTTTGCTGGGCTTGACATGATGGTGGAGGCGTGAAGTTGCCGGGGTTGGATGAAATTGGCGAGTAGTGGCGACAATCGTGGCGGATACAGACTTAGTGAAGAGAAGTTCGATAATTGCGCCAATCGACAAACGGGAAATCTCATTATAGAGGTGCGACAAGATAGTTTGCAGAGCGAAACGACTGGATGCAAGGGTGAAAGGGAGGAGAGTATCGATGACGTCGTTGACACGCTAGCCTCTTTCTCGCCCAACCTCCCTATCATACTTCAGCACCGCGTCAAGCAGGACCTGGGCTCCCAACGCGCAATGCTCAGGACTCGTGTACTCCTCAGGATTGTGACTTATCCCGCCTTTACTTGGCACAAAGATCATAGCCGTTGGACACACTCTGCTCGTCCACGCACTGTCGTGTCCTGCTCTACTCTTGATCGGCAAAGTCTGCTCTTCACACACTAAATCCACCGCCGCCCACTCTACAGCGAAGATACAATCTGGGTGGAATTTCGATTCCGGCAATCCCCATGTACGCTCTACGTGATATGCCGTCGCATTGTCCTCCTCTCTGATGATCGTATCGAATTCCCGTAATATGGATTCGGAAAGTTCCTCGACGAGAAGATCAGTATCACATCTGATATCTACCACAAATCTCACGCCAGCGGGTATAGTAGCTTGCGAACTCGTATCACTGCTGATGACACCAACGGTGGCTACACCACAACCGCTATGCAAGGCAGTGTCCCTTACAGCAGTGATCATCCGCGCAGCTGTTACCAAAGCATCAGCTCTTGTTTCCATAGGCGTCGTACCAGAATGGCCTTCTCGGCCTGTAACGCGGATGTCGAACCATCTCATTCCTTGTACGCTTGTCACGATACCTATGTCGGACCCTAGGCGCTCTAGTTTTGGACCTTGCTCAATGTGCAGTTCGAAATGCGCGGAAAGACTATTCTCGCGGTAGTCGCAGGGCGTTGGGCCGAGGTAGCCGGTGGAGTGTAAAGCGTCTTTCATGGATACACCGTCGGTGTCGCGGAGAGCATGGCATGTAGACAAGTCCGTGCTACTGTGCGTGCTCCAGACACCAGATGCCATCATTGCACCAGGGAAACGCGCGCCCTCTTCATTTGTCCAGTTTATCAAGGCGAGGGGGTGGTGGGTTTGGACGTTGTTTTCGTGCAACGTGCGGAGGACTTCTAGGGCGGACTGAACACCCAAGATGCCGTCATATCTAGATAACCATCAGATTCTCATCATTGTGATAGCTGCTTGGGCGTTGTTGCACGTACCTTCCACCCGCTGGTTGCGTATCCATATGACTCCCCATGCCAATCGGCGCCTTGTCTGTGGCGGTACCTGGGCGTATGGCAAAGATGCTGCCCATTTGGTCGATTTTTATGTCGCATCCCAAAGATTTACATTCGCTGACCAGCCAGTCTCGAGCTGCTTTGTCGGAGTGGGTCAATGTCAAGCGGCACATGCCCGTCGATGGTGCTGGAAGAGCGCCATACAAAGTGCATGTCTCTTGCAAGGTGTTGTTTAGCCTGTCGCCGTTGATTTTGAAGCGTTTGAAAGGCATTGTAATGCAGATGGAGACTCTGATAGTACGAAGACTGATTTGTAGAGTTACCTAGGTACGAATAGTGGGTGGACGCGTCAAGGTCGCGAAAGCTAGTTTCGACGTGCCCGCTGGCGAAAAGCGCGTCTTCTTCATCTATGACCAATTTCTATGACTGTGCCGGATATCTGAATCATTCTCGAGCGCGTTTATACGCGAATAAGCGTCGTGGTTGATAAGAACGAAGACGGGAGGAAGGTGGGGCAGCGCGAAAGAGGGGTCGAGATACGCACCTCACAAACCTGGACTAGCCTTCTTTCCACTACCACAATAACCGCTGAGATGTATCTTCCCGTGATCGTGTATGACTGGAAAGTATATTCCGTGTTGTCATTCTGCTCGGAAAAAGGTTGAAACAAGCTCTAATGGAGTACGATCTATTCATCATCAATGGAGTGGTAGTGTCCGAAAATGAAGTTCAAGAGTGGGATATCGCTATCAAAGACGAGAAGATCGCAAAGGTAGTTTCAAGAGGAGGTCTAAAAGATGCACAGGCGACAAGGACGATAGATGCTGAAGGCGGCTACGTGATGCCAGGAGGTGTGGACGCTCATGTTCATCTCCAAGAACCTCCATTGTTTGGAAATGGCTCAACAGCAGACAACTACGAGACTGGCAGTCGATCGGCAGTATGCGGTGGTACCACTACGATGGTGACCTTTGCGCCCCAGAAGAAGACCGAAGACACTCTTCTCGACACTCTGGCGGCCACTCATGAACGAGCGAAGAACAACTGTTATATCGACTACTCATTCCATATAATCGTCGGCAACCCTTCAGAAAGGGCGCTCTCAGAATTCAAGACCCTGCGAGAGGAAGGCATATCCTCACTCAAGATATACATGACCTACGAGGCCCTTCAACTGCACGATGGTCAGATCCTAGACATCCTCCTCGAGGCCAGGAAGCAAGGGATAACGACCATGATCCACGCCGAGAACGGACAAGTGATCGACTGGATGACCGCGCAACTCGAGAAGAAGAAGCTGTTCGCGCCGAAATACCACGGCTCATCCCATCCGCCCATGGCAGAGACAGAAGCCACCTACCGCGCAATCAGCTTATCAGAGTTCATGGACACTCCCATCCTCATCGTCCACGTATCCACACCTGCTGCAGCTGCACACATCAAAGCAGCGCAAGACCGCGGCTTACCCATCTACGCCGAAACCTGCCCACAATACCTCTTCCTCACGAAGCTAGATCTCGACCAACCCGGTTTCGAAGGCGCGAAATGCGTTTGCTCGCCCCCACCCCGCGAAAGCGAAGCAGACTGCGACGTGATCTGGGAGGGTCTCGCAAACGGCACCTTTACCATCCTCTCCTCAGACCACTGTCCCTTCCGCTATGACGACCCTGAGACGGGCAAGAAGTCCAGCATCAGCGCAGAATACCCTCTAGGACACTTCAGATACATTCCCAACGGCTGCCCTGGTATCGAAACACGGCTTTCACTGACGCTCAGCGCGAACCGCCTCAAGCTCACCAAATTCGTCGAAGTCACATCTGCGAATCCCGCGAAGCTATACGGTCTCTACCCGAAGAAAGGCGCGCTGATAGAGGGCGAATCGGATGCTGATATCAACATCTGGTATCCGGATGGCAAGATGGAGGAGTTTGAGTTGACGAATGATATGTTGCATCATGATGTTGACTACACGCCTTTTGAGGGCAGGAAGCTAAAGCAGTGGCCGCGGTGGACGTTATTGAGGGGGAAGGTAGTTTGGGATAGGGACAATGGAGGATTGTTGGGGGAAAAGGGGTATGGCAAATTTACGAAGAGGGATACGAGTAGTCTTGCGAAGCCGATGAGGGAGGGGGAGTGGGTGTTACCGTTGTAGGTGTGGGTTGTGGTGATGCGCGTGCGCCGTGGAATCGGACTCGTAGATTGATCATCGACGCGTTGAACGTGTTCGATTACATCGTGACACGAGATGACGCTTGCGACGCGTAAATAATCCTTTGTATCTCCAGAATCTGTTCGGTGTTGTAGCTACGAGCGAACGGCTTGCAGCTTGATGTTTGCCGCGGCTTGATCCTTATCTTATCAGCCCCCTGTACACCTCGCGTCCCACCCCATTCTTGCTTCTACCTCCCTTCGCGACAGCGCGTACATTGTGCATATCTCCATCATGTCACATCGAGCATGCCTGACTAATGCCATGCTATCGTCTTATCAATGCGGTAGCTCCTGCTTGCCGTTCCCGATGTAGCTATCAGGCTCAGGAGGCTTATAGCCGGCCAACATGGGTGTACATGGGCTTGAGGAAGCTTGTCATGCGCCCAAGCTGAACATCTCCATTTTCCAGTGAACATGACGACCTCAGATCTGCCGGTAGAGAATGTAGATGTACTTGTGGTAGGTGGAGGACCAGTAGGTACACAACTCCAGCATCTATCCGCTAGACCACCATACTGACATTCATGCCCAGGCCTCGTAACCGCCTACCAACTCGCGCGCAACCTCCCTCACTCTACGCATCGCATCAAGATCATAGAACAACATCCCAAGTCGTCCCAAGACAACTATGGACGCGCCATCACCCTCTTCCCAAGAACGACTGAGATGCTCGATCAACTTTCTCTGGCTGATTCCCTTGCTCAGCAGTGTTTTGCTTGTCGCGAAACAGTGAATTACGATAAGCATGGCAACGAGGTCGAAGGAAGAGGCTGGGCGTTCATGGAGAATATGAAGGATACCAAGTGGGACTTCGCGTTGGTGCTACGTCAGAAGTACCAAGAAGAGGTGTTTAGGAAAGCTTTGGCTAGGGAGGGGGTACAACTCGATGCGCCGTATACCCTGGTGGGCATCGAGCTTATAGAAGGAGTAGAAATGGGCGGGTACCGTGTACTGGCTACTATGGAACATGGCGAGACCAAGGTGAAGAGCGTAGTCAGATGTCGATATCTGGTTGGCGCAGACGGTGGGCGGTCTTTCGTACGACGAGCCATGAACATACCATTCGACGGCTCATCCAGCGAAGACAAGTGGGTACGCGTCGACGGCGTCATCGAAACCGACCTCCCCAAGCCACGAACATACTGCGCCATCGAATCGCCGACACACGGAAACGTCCTCTGGGCCGCATTGGACCGAGGGGCAACACGGATAGGATTCGCGTTCACAGCGGAGCGTCAGAAAGCATACAAGGTGTTTGACGAAGAAGCCGCCGTCAAAGAAGCCATCGCATCCGTCAAGCCGTTCAACCTTAAGTTCAAGCAGGTGGACTGGTGGACCATCTACGTTGTGGGGCAGCGTATCGCGCGCTCGTTCTTCGTGAATGACTGCATCTTCCTCGCCGGCGACGCTTGTCACACCCATAGTTCGGGTGCAGCCCAAGGTATGAACACAGGTATGCATGATGCAGTAAACCTAGGCTGGAAGCTCTCCCTCGTTCTCCAAGGACTCGCCAAACCCGATCTGCTGCACTCGTACGAAGCAGAGCGACTGCCCAACGTCCAGAGATTGATCAACTACGACAAAGACATCTCGCGTCTCATGACAATGCAATTACCCGAGGGCTGGACAGGCGACCCGAACGCCGACCCGAACGAAGTACTAGGCATAGTCATGGCCGAAGCAGCGACATTCAGTAGCGGACTGGGCATCTACTACGAGCCAGACTCCTATCTCAACTTCACGCAGAGTTCGGGTGTATCGTCCGTACAGCCTGGTCAACGCGCACCGGATGTCCCGTTACAGAAACCAGCAACTTTTGAAACTACGCGATTACAGACCGAGGCACCGAATACGGCGACGTTTTATGTTACGCTCTTCGCTGGTGAGGTAGCTCACACGAAACTCGCTTTATCGTCATTCACAGCAGCAGTCTCTCGACTTGCTTGGCTTCACGATCCGGATATTCCGATATCATGTCTTTCTATTATCGCATGTCCCGGTGGGCCATCGGCCTATGAGACGCTGGGCGGTATGCCGTTCGGTCGTGTATTCTACGACCAGGACCGTAGTGCGCACATGCGCTATGGTGTTGCTACCGAGAACGGAGCCGTGGTGGTGTTGAGACCTGATGGGTGGGTAGGCACAGCCATTCAGTTGGATGGAGATGCGGCGCTGAAGCTGGAGAGGTACTTTGGCCGGTTTCTGCTCGCTGCAGTGGCGGGTAGCAAGGCTGGGGCGAAGCTGTAGAGTTGCTGTGGATTGTACACACAGGCGAATGTGAAGTCAAACGTAGAAGCAACAGATTGCGTAGGTTTAGTATAGCGTTGACAGTAGTACCTAAGTTCATCAGTACAGACTGATAATACTAGCAGACTTCATCACACTACGCATACATGTAGGAGATATCTTACGAGTACCTACGTGTAAGAGCGCGCACTTGGTTGCCACATGCCCACTCTTCAGCGATGGTGTAGCTCAAACAGGTTTTTCCACATCAACTTGGTTATTGTAAGAGCAGTATAATATCGTAGCGTTTCCGCCGTCATAATCCATTGTTGTACAAAACAGTACAAGGTACTCCATCCAGCCTATCCGGTAGCCTGATACAAGAGGGTATATATAAAAGATCCAAACGCTCAAACACCAAAACCCGCTTTTTCCCAAATCGAAAAACATCGAGAAAGAAGAAATTTTGTTACAGAAAAGATCATCAAAGCATCACCAGCTGCGTTATACCGTACTATCCCCTAATGCTACCCTTCCTGTACTTGTCGTCCTTCAGCGGCACTGGCGGTGGTTCGTCGGCGTAAGACTGCGCTGGCATGACGGAGTCCTTCCGCGCGTGCCTTGGGTCGTAGGTCGCACTCGATAGTATCGGCTCGGGCTTGTAGGTAGCGTTCGAGAGCGTTGGCTCTGGGTTGTATGTTGCGCTGGAGAGTGTGGGTTCGGCAGCCGGCTTGGGGTCGTACGTAGTCGCTGGTAGCGTCTTGTATGTGGTTGCGGGTAAAGTGTACATGAATTCGTCAATCGCGTCGTCGATGTCGTCGAGAAGGTTTTGTTGGTCCGATTGCGACGTCTCGGATGTCGACTTGCGGTCAAAGGGATGCTTTGGGTCGAAGGGAAACGTGAAAGAAATGGGTCGCTCGTTAGGTGTGTACGACACTCTCGGTGCGTATTCCGGTGTCCAGTCTTTTGGGGATTGTGTTGGGCTCAATGGGGCCAGAGAGATCATGCGCTCCGAGTAGATGCGCTCGAGATCTTCGTCCGGGGCGTTACCAGGGAACAAAGATTGCGATCGCTCGCGCACTTGTGCAAAGCCGCCATCGTATGTTGTCGCTGGTAGTAGGAAGGAGCCTTGCTCGGGTGCAGAGGAAGCTACCTCCCTCTCTTCGCGTACGAAGGTGAAAGACATCGGGCGGTCTTTTGGGTTAGGCGAGTTGTCGTTGGAACCATTGAGCGTCGAGGAAGAAGAAAAGCCAGGAGAGAGTACCGGGTCGCTTTGGCTTCGCGTATGTGATACGAAGCGAGGGGAGGGGACCTGCAGGTATCTGGGAGAAGGCTGATAGTCGTAGTCTGGTGGTGGTGCGATGAAGATGTCACCGTGTCCCATTCGCTCGCCAGGCGCAACGTTCCGAAGCGCTTGCAATCTCTCGTTCGCGAAGTTTGATTCCAGGATGTGCGCTCTCTCGACCAGTTTGTCCACGAGCTTGCCGTGCGAGTCCTTGAATGTCCTCTTGACGAAGCTCAACAGAAGCGATGAACAGGTCATCTTGACATCTTCCCGGATATACAGTCCGTGTCTTGGAGTCTTGAGGCCAGGCTCAGCCGGAGGCTTTGGCTCGCCAGGCAGTCTTCCTCCTACTGTCCACTTCCCCTGGATATCGAGACCAAGCGGCGCGTACACGTGTGTGTTGAGACCTTCCGCTGTGTCGTTGAAGCAAGCGTGGTAGGACACAGAACCTGTTGCCAGGCCACCCGGTAGATATGAGACCTTATCTAGGAGATATTAGCGGCTGCATGGTGGATGTGTAGAAGACTACTCACCTTTGATAGTGTACCACATCGACCAGTACTCGTCAGTCGGCGCATAGCTAGGTGGCCTACACTTGAACCGCTCCACAACCAACGGGTTCAAGTCGATCATAGCTAGATGATCGCGGTACATGTCGAGCACACTCTTCCTTGTGATGCCCGCCGGCAACGGCGTAATGGTGGTGAAGACAGCGGTCTTCGGCATGATTGCTTTCTCTCGAGGTACGAGTCGTTCTTCTCCGGATTGATGTTTCAAGAAAACCTCTGCGGATACGATCAATGTTTACGCGCGCGTGAAGCTGGAGAAGTGGAAAGAAGAATGTTTGGACAGCGAAGCAGCGAGAGAAGATGTACTTGTTTCGCAGGCCATCAGATCCATCCAGCCATGGCCGCTGACACGCTTCGCACACGTATCAGGCGAGCGCTCGAGCGCAGCTTGAAAAAAGCCCCTGCATCCAGATTTGCGGAAGGTTTGGGAACTGACAGCTCCCCGCCAAGCTCCCCGCCAACAAGTCGAGAGCGGCATCTTTGCCGTTTGTGGCAATCATTGGAATTGCATTCCCTGCCATCGTTGCTATATTCAGTCGGATGGCATCTGGCCGCTTTGTTTCTATGCGGGCCCCGGTGGACAGAGCATGCTCTTACTGGCATCGTCGTGGAAAACGCGTTGCCGAGAACCGAGAAACGCGAGTAGAACGCTGTCAGATAGTGTCAGCCGAGATGCAGAAGTTCTTGTTCTGTGACGAGAATCAGTGGCGTGGTGTTGCAGGTCTCAGAATCCTGGAGCAGATCCGCCGCAGGTACGTTAGACGCTAGCGCTCGCGCTATGACCAATCAAGCAGTGCCGATGAACTACTGAGGGGTTGCTGACAGTTATCTTCGTGAACGCATCCACCAACGCGGTCATCAATTACAACAGGCAGCATATCGACGTATCGCATTCCTACTGCATGACTATCATCTCATCTATCGAAGAAAAAAGTGTCTTGTTGCCGTTCGCATCGAACGTCGCGGACGAGGCTGCCGTTCCAGGCGGTTTGCGTCTCTGTTACGTTTCAGCATGGCTTCATCAGGCATACAACGCATGTTATAAGGCATCCACAAAATCTCCTCCTCGGCACACTGCTACATACCAAGCGTTTCGAAACGAGGCTAGAATTCGCCATCGACCACGCGGGTCGGATGTCGACATCCTCAATTCCTTATAACCAAGGCATCGCATGCTTCTATGACAAATGCGCTGTTAATGCAGTCATGTAGAGTACTGATAATCTAGGGTCCATCAGAATTATCTGGAATACTTACAAAGTGACAGATGGCGACACAGCTGCCGAGAGCTTTCCTGCTCTTATCGCTTAGATGTTAATATTGGCTTTCTCTGCACCGGTGACGAAGGCATGGTCGTGAGGCCCAACGAAGAAAAGGATGCATCTTTGACTCAGCACTGGGTCATAGCTTGGCCCGCGCTGGTCATCGAAGTTGTGACTAGATTGTATGCTCCGCGATGTACGAGACGATGATGGTAGCACCGAGACAAGCATGCACAAGGTTCAATCAGCTAGCCCACGAAGTCACACGGTGGCTACTATACGGCAACAAACACCACTGCGATAAGCAGTCGCGGGCAGCCAGCTCACAGCTTTTCAAGTCCTTTCTATACTGCCCCGGGATATGTTGCACATACTCTTATTTAACGACCTGTTTTGATACTGGTAGAGGGCTATACCAGACTTGGACACCTTTTTGATGATACCCACTTGCTTATATATTCATCTTAATCTATACTGCCCCGAAAGGGATTTCTCGAATGATCAGCCCAGCGAATAAGATAAATCCCTCCAACGATCATCAACATCACGTCACACAGCACGAGGTGACACGACGTTATACTCAAAAAGAAGTATGCATTACGACTAAACCAATGCTAAAAGCAAAGCAGGATATCCAAAAAGCCACCACGCGCCGCAATCATACCTGATGATCGCAAGTCCCAAGTCATACACACATACACCGCTGCCCCACCACCTTGACTCACATCTCTATACACCCTGATGCATATCCACCTCCTTGCTCTTCGGCGCCTTGCCACCGAACGTCATACCCATACCACCACGCCGTCCCTTAACAACACCAACAACACCAAAAGCAAAAGTGACAGCCCAAGCAAGCCACGAAACCGCGCTGATGGCCGTACTCGCGCGGGCTACATCACAGACCTATTCGTGCCACACATTAGCATCTCAATCCCCTTTCATGTAACGATTTGGGATTTGGAAGCTTAAACTCACCATACCAAAGCAAATCCGCCCACTCAAAAACACCGCCAGAGCCACAAATCCACTAAACCAGAACAACATGGTCAGTCCCTCCAGCCCCAACAGAGCCCACTTCACACTGCCTTTCTCAGTCAAGTGTGAGAATTTGGGTAGCGAAGTGAGGAGGAGGGGAATGAGACTGAGGATGGTCCAGGAGGGCGCGAAGATGAGGTAGTTTATCTCCAGCGGGGAGGATTGGCGCCAGTGTGTTGACCACCATGATGATACTTGAGGGTGTTAGTTGGTACTACGCGCGGATGATGAAGATGGGGGAGGGATGGAGGGTAGGGGAGATGGGTAGGAGACGTACCATAAGCCATCAACCCGAGCACAACAATGGAAAGTACAGCTTGAGCAGCGCGAACGGGTAGGATCCAGTTGATCGCCATTGTGACTGTGCCTCTTCCTCTTTCTTTCCTTTTTCCCTACTGGACTATCTTCTTCCGTCCTTGTCTCGATCTCCTCAAAGGAAGTGGCGGAGGCGTATGCGTATAGTATAGTGAATGTATGGTATGGTGTCGTGCCACACCTAGTTCCCGTCTATATTGCGCGGCGTAGTTCGTAGAATATGTCCAATCGAAAGCAAGTCGTAACAGTAATATCCAAAAAGAGCGTCAAGAAGAATAACCAGTATGTAAGGACGGAAAAACTGAGGACACGAGGAAAGAAGGAAAGAAGAAACAGCAATCGAAAGGAAAGACGGAAACCAGTTCCACAACACACCAACGTTCGCCCAGGTAAAACCAAGCCAGGCATCTCTCATCTATTCATTCCTGAGTATCAGTAAGCATCCTCATGCCCCCTCTCCCGCCAACCGTCCATCTGCTCGCCCACTCCAACATGCCACGCGACGCGCATACACCTATTCTTTGACAGTCAAAACCCACGTTGCGGCACAAT